TGCGTAAATGAGTTTTTTTATTTTAATTTGTGAAGTTGTCGAGCAAAATTGATATGGTAACTTTTTGTAAGTCAGTAAAAAAATTGGTGTGAAGGTTCTATAAATAGAGACGAGAGATAAATAGTTCTAGAGAAAAAAGTGAATTGAGTTTGTGAGAAAAGAAAGAGTAAATATAATCCCAAACAGTTTATTGAACCACATAAATCTCATTTTCTTTAGTGTTCCTAACAAATGAGTGAATGAGTAATCCTAATTTGGTGTTAAGTTACCCACGCACGTTTCACCTGTTCCCGTGCAAACTACCCCTTCATAAAATTTGAGACTTACGATATTTCATTGTCAAATCTTGGATTCTCGCACTAAAATGGATTCAAAATCCTTTCATTGTTAATGTGAACTCGAATTGTCGTTAAGTATTATCAATATTTGGATTATTCAAGTCAGTTCGAGCTTGACTAATATTACTAAATTTTCTTTTTCTTTTTTTTTTTTTTTTAATTTTTAATTTTTTATTTAATCCTCCTATCCCTAATGCAAATACAGCTAGCTTTGATTGGGATCCATGACCTAATTAATTGAATTTTTTTTTTTTTTAAATCCAAGTGAATATATGTAGTTGTAACCAATCTGCGTTTCTTTTTCTGACTTTATTAATTCACCCTTACCACATATGTGGTACAAGACTAGAGGGACAAGTGTCCCTACATTTAAAATAATAAAAAAATAAATAATTTGATAATTTAAACCCAATTGAAATCCAAATCAAATTCTAATTCTCCGTCCTAATCCTATTTGTCAGGCTTCTATCATGTCAAAGTCCTAATCTCATTCGTTCTCTCCCTGACAATCTGGCCCTCATATTTTTAGAGAGAAACTCATATCTTTGGAGAACTAGAAGAAGAAGAAAAAGAAAATTAGATGTGGAGGAGGAAAGAGAAGGTACACTTGCAGAAATTAAAAAGAGGAACCTTTCTTCCTTTCATTTAGGTCTAGAACCACATTTGCATATTCGTTGGATTCTTGTGTGCAACTCCCAATTAGGCTATGAATTATAACAATTGACGCACACCGTTTTAAGGCTTTTGATGAGTTAACACAGCCAAATTTAGGTACGGTCTAATAATCTTTTTGTTTTAGATTTGATACCTTAAACCTTTAAATGTGGGTCTGAATCCTGGTTTCTTCTTCTTCTTTCTCTAGGTTAAGGTTGACCTACGGAAATCAACCTGCAATTTTTACCAGTAAGTTCTGTCCTTTGAGTGTAATATTCAGATCAAAGATGAGAGGGCTATTAGACAAACAACTTACTTCTTTAACTAAAGAATTTTGGCTTAGGGCTTCCATATGATAGAAGTTTGAGAAAGAAGGGGGAGGAGAGAGAATGAATTAAAACTTGATTCAGATTTGTTTGGATTTACCCCGAATAGCTCTCAAATTATTATTTTTATTTTTATTATTGTAAATATAGGGACATTTGTTACTCTATCTTGTGCCACATACGTCTATCTTGTGCCACATACGTGGTAAGTATGGACTTCCTACTCATTGAGTGGATAAGTATTATCCTTACTTTTATTCTTTCAATAAAAAATCCCATTCAAGAAAAAAAAAAATAAATAAATAAAATAAAATAATTTGTACGTGTGATTCGTGTTTTGGTAAAAAAGAGAAGCCATTCATTTTGTAATATATATATATATATATATATATATATATATATCCTTTCAAATTTAATTGTATGTGTATAGCTTGTCATTGAAATTATAGTCTTTATTTTATTATATATATTTGAACAAATTGCAAAAAAACTCCTTGACTATCACTCACTTGCAAAAAAAACCCCTTATCTGTATGTTTAGCAAGAAATTAACCCCCCTCAACTATATTGAGGGGGGTATATTAACCTAACTCCATCTCTGTCTAATCTTTTTGACGAATTTACCCACATGTTTCTCTCTTTACCACCGACTCTTTCTTCCATCACCGCCAGCTCCTTTCGCCATCATTTTCTTCTTCTTCAACCACCACTACCTTTCTCAACCTCCTTATACAACCTTAGGTTCACAATTTTTTTGCAATTACATCAACTGTGTAACAGTTTTATTACTTTTCATTTGAAAAAAAAAAAATCAAACAAACAGTACACTATCATCATCACCACGGAGTCATCCACTGCCGAGCCAACAGCCAAGCTCTCCACAGTCGTCGCCCACCGTTCTCCACAGCCAGTTGCCCACGGCCGAGCTGTCTGCCGTCACCGCTGCTGCATTGTCGAGCCCTCCCTCTTGCTCGCCGGCCTTTGATTCCACCGGCCAAGCTCGCCACCTAGTCATCCACAGCCGAGCCCGTCTTCTCACCACCGTCCGTCCTCTCTGCCGTCACTCCATCACTGCCAACATCATCCAAAGCCGAGCCCTCTGAGCGGTCGTTGACCAATCATTCACCGACAAATGGGTCCAAGCCAACATTGTCGCCTACCATTGCCGTTGGCGAGATCTTCATGGTCCAAAAAATCTGGAATGTTGAGGGATAATTTGGTTCAAAAAATTACCTCAAAAAATTATGAAACTAGCATTAGTTAGATTATGTACCCCCCTCAAGATAGTTGAGGGGGGTTTCTTGCTAAACATATAGATAAGGGGTTTTTTTGCAATTCATCCTATATATTTTTATTTGTTCAAGAGGATGTTCATTCCCCCGTAATAAATAGTCTTTTCGCATGCGAAGCTAAAGTCGGATATATTTATTACTCTTTAGATTCAGCAATGGTGGGAATCTTGCACACTTAGCAAACTCGTTACATGTCTAATAACAATAAGGGTTACAAAGTAGAGTTAGATTAACAACTTTCTTTGGGGAATTGATTAAATTTTCTAAGAAGATATTAAAACTAAAATATACTACGTAATTCTAAAAAGAGCCTGGCGTCCAGATTAATTCTTATGGTAATTGGTAGAAACAACAAAAGACAGCTGTGATTTGGAATAGTTTGAAGAAATCTATAGCAATTTCTCTTGTTGTTTATTATGAAACAGTAGAAGTACTCGAGTAGACATTAATTCCACTTTTCACACTATATATCAACAAGTGTGAAAAGTGGAATTAATATAGTATACACCATGTCAATATGTAGGGCAAATGCCAATTATTTGTGGATTGGCGGCTTGCTGAGTTCATACATTCTACAAAATGGTAATAATATTGCATTTTCGAGGGGTTGCTGTTACGAAACTTAACCACCGGACACATATTTTGGCTACCGTCAAAGATTACAAATTCCACATAGAATATGGGATTGTAACATGAACAAGCACGTTCGTTGACAAGAATGACAGTAAAGGTCCATTAATTACAAGGACAAGCATGTATCGATTACAAGGACAGGAATGACATTGTATAATAATACTATATCGCACTAGTCTTCTATCAATGGTGGAAACATAAAGCATCTTTTGTTTGACTAAATTGCATGCGAGTGATTTTCTGTCACATGACAGCATCCGGAGTGCCGGGCTCGGGCTCCACTTTTGAATCTCCTTTAAGAAGTCCATAAAAATTATGAAATATCATATACTCGTATTTTTTAATTTAAATGCATCAATTTGATTTTTTACACATTCGTTTCATATAATAATTAAATAGGAAGATTTGTGTTTTTTGCTCGACTACTATATTCCTTACAACTAATTGAATAAAATATAATTTTCATATTGTTGATGAATGAAAAAATATTTTATAATTATTTGCTTTCGATTATATTTTAAAAAAAATAAAAGAGAACAATATATATTTAAAGAAAGATGATATTACAACATCACATATACACTTTCTCACAGATAAATAAAATATTAGACATGACATAGACTTGTGATCCCTTGACTAAAAGGCGACATAATATGATTTTGTTGGGCCTGAAGGAGGGAGTAATTCTAATTCCTTAGGACTACTCATTTCTTGATAATTGTACAATACATGTGGAATAGGAAACTATATATATATATATAGAGTGCTTTAAAATACCCAACCAATCATAATCCTCTCCTGAAACTATATTATTGATTTTCGTCAGAATCAATAATATATACTACAGGAACAAAAATGTACAAGTCTTGTCAATTCATAAAAAATGGGACATATTTTGGCTCGACAAATTGGGAACAAACAACACATTGGTTGTTAGATATATGGTGTGAAATGGTTTGCATGCCAAATTGACTTTACACGTGAGTGATAAGCCAGGTTTTGTAAAATTGGGGCCCCTTAATTGTGGGAGTGATGATTCATCGGACTGCCAGAGCATGTTATGAATTGGCAAGACTTGTACATAGTTCCTGTAGTATATATGGGAATTGAAAATGTCATCTTCACATTGATAAACTCTCCGTAAACCATTTGGATAAAAACAACTGAACTCTTCTTACTTAATGCCCTGCAAAGAGTTGGATAATTTTTTTTTGGATAAATTTAACTTATCTAAAAAATTATCAATTATTATTATTATTATTATTATTTTGTATTGGCTCCACAACATAGGTATTATTCAAGTCAGGAGTGCAATTCGAAGGTGAGATCTCAAAGAATTACCTCTCAAATCCCTGCCAACATTGCTATATTTTGAAACAAAAAAAAAAAAAAATACAAAAAAAAAACCTCCCAATTTAGCAATTAAAAATAAATAACTCATAACTTTTCCCGTGAGAAAGCTATCTTTATATCATTACTTATGGGAGATATTATATACTTTTTCACTGACCATCCGCATGTAGCATCACATTATTCTGCCATCAATAAATTAGGAACATGGTGATGTTACATTATTGCGTAATCTTATTCGTCATCGATCAATAAATTGCGAAGTTTGCAAAATTTGTCCACACTGTTGGGCCCACGTGAAATCATAAATTTGAGGTTCCTAACCAGTACGCGCATGCATAAATTTCTCTATAAATAGCTTGCTTGTTTGCTTCTTAATGCCACACCCATCCACACATAAAGAAATTGTGTGTTATATATATATATAAAACCTTGCTTTTGTTTCCATGGAATCCTCTGTACCAACCTCACCTCAAACCCTAGTTAATGAGATCAAAGAAGATATGTTCTCTACTAGTAGTAGTACAAATTCTATTGATGTTTATTCATTTGTTTCTCCTTCAGCTTATGACACTGCATGGTTAGCCATGATTCCAGACCCCGAACAACGGGATTGTCCCATGTTCAAGGGTTGCTTGGATTGGGTTCTCGACAACCAAAGAGACGAAGGGTTCTGGGGAGAGGATCAGTACACCATTGATACTCTTCTTGCAACTCTTGTTTGCATGGTTGTGCTCAAAACGTGGAATGTTGGGGATAAAAACATAAAGAAAGGTACATATATATCTATATATATATATATATATATATATATATATAAAGAGTTTTGTTTCTCTCTTAGGTAAGTCACACACCATCCGGGACTTTACCCAAACTAATCCACTGACTCCCTCCTACACCTATTAGGTAAAACTTGGAGTATGTTAGCGGGTGTGACCCTAAGGATTTGTTTGTAGTTAAGAGGAATCGATCCTGAAACCAGATGTTTCATGAGGTACCAGCGTCCAAGTCTTTTCCAACTAAGTCAATTACTTGGGGTTGCATTCATTTAACGGAGACTTCAACTCGCAATTTTATATTAGAAAAAGCGGTGTTTGAATTCTCTACTCTAACAAATTTATGTTGTGTTGTGCTATAATTTTTATTTAACACGCTTACTATGTAGAAACACAGTTTAAATTTGTTGAAATATCTTTTTAAGGTCATTATATATTTCTAGTATTTATGCAATTAGATCATAATAAAACATTTTAATTTTACCAGATGATGAAATGTAGAACAAATGTGTTCAAATACGATGCCACTGTGTTAGAAATACCTGCACCACAGTACAACGTGGAAAAAAATACTATGGTAGCAAATAACCTTTTCATACGTAAAAGAATAGTATAGTTGCAAATATCACTGTCATAAAATAAAATAAAAATATCACTGTCATACCATGTGCTCGCCGTTTTTTAGTTATGTATGAGTCGTGATCCGAAGTTCACTTCTACCTGCTCGGGCCTTGCTGGGTCGCTTCTTTTGTCATTTTCATGTTTCACTTTCAGTACTTTCGTTTTTGAAGTTTTGAAATTAAAAAGATGAATTTTTTTCTTTAAAATCCTCACTAGCAAACTAAAAACCACACATCATCGAAAGAAACACACTGACCGTTATTTTATTTTATTTTTTAGTATCATTTAACGAGATGATATAAGCATGTTATTAATTTCTATCAACATTTTAGGGTTGGAATTTATTCATTCAACCATGGAGATGCTTCTGATCAAAGTAAAACAAGACGGATATCCTCGTTGGTTTTCTATTGTTTTCCCTGGAATTGTTGAACTTTCTCAAGCAAAAGGTCTAGAAAATGTTTTCCCTGACGAGCTCAAAGGAGAAGTGTTGGAAGTTTTCTTCCACAGGCAACGAATTCTTGATATGTAAATTCTTACCTACAAATTAATATACATACAGAGATACATATATATATTTGAATTTTTATTGTAGTGATAATTATTGTTGAACACCAATATATATAATCAGTGACATGTATGCAAGTTTTTGTAGGGAAGAACTTGTAGATAAATACAATTATCCTCCACTGTTGTCGTATTTGGAGGCCTTGCCATCAACATATGATATTGATCAAGAAGATATAGTGATGCACTCGAATGAATCAGACGGCTCATTGTTCCAATCACCTTCGGCCACGGCATGCGCCTATATGACTACTGGAAATCAGAAGTGCATGGACTACCTAGTGTCTCTTGTTCAAACATGTGGCCATGGAGGTTAGATAAAGCTTCTAAATTCTATGCTTATATATATATATATATATAAAACTAATTCTCAAGGCTTCATTCGAATTCTGATCGAACTTGATTTTTGATGCAGTTCCATCGATTTATCCCATGGATGAGGAGCTCATAAAGCTTTGTATGGTAAATCAAATTCAAAGATTAGGGTTGTCCGAGCATTTCAATGAGGAGATTGAAAAAACTTTATCAGAGGTGTATAGGTAATGTAAATACTATTTACAATTAAAATAAAAAAAAGTATCCAAAAAGTTCTCAATTTACAAAAAAAAAGGTTCTCAATTTACAATTAAGATGTAAATTAAACAGTTAATAATGCATGATGTACTATATATGCGGATTATTGTTATGTACTAACCTCATTAGTCTCTTTGAATTTTTAACTCCAACATTCAAAGTATGTATGAGAAACAAGAATCACTGACGACAAAAGTTGAACTAGTACCGGCAAAAATATACAAGGACGCTTTGGCTTTTAGGCTCCTGCGGATGCAAGGGTACAATGTGACACCATGTATGTCATTCATACAAGTTTCAGACCTCTCATGCTGATTATATAAACACTCCTTAATTTTGTGTCATACTATGAAATTTAAAATGTGCAGGGACTTTTTGTTGGTTTCTACTCCATGAAGATGTTGTAGCTCATATAGAAGAAAACTTTGAAGTGTTTACAAGTGCAATGTATAATGTTTATAGAGCAACAGATCTTATGTTCTCAGGAGAATATGAACTAGAGGAGGCAAGGTCATTTTCAAAGAAATTACTTGAGAAATCCATGACACTGACAAACATAAACGATAACATTGTCATGTTACCGAATTTCCAAAGATTGGTAATTTCTATTCAACTTAATTATATATAGAGCAATAAAATGCTTCCATAAACTAATTTCAAATTCAAAGTTACTGACCTATGTACGGATATACATATATATGACTCCATAAAATTGCATAGATCGAGCATGAGTTGAGTCTTCCATGGATTGCTCGACTTAGTCATCTGGATCACAGAAAGTGGATTGAAGAGAATAAGGTCCACTCTCTTTCGATTGGAAAGGCCTCCCTCTATAGGTACAAGCTACTGTTTAAATTTAATTTCATTCTTCTTATTATGAATTATATATATATATATTCCCTTTATAATGAAAAATATATATATTGAAATGGTGAAAAATATGTTAGATTATCATGTCTTCAAAATGACAAGCTAATGCAACTTGCTGTCGAGAACTATGAGTTTCGGCAATCAATCTACAGGAAAGAATTGGAGGAACTTAAAAGGTACATGCATATATATATATATACACACACACACACACACACAAACGTGACAGTTATATTTATGCATATATAGTAACATGTAATTAATCAAAATGGCTTGTCTATTTCATCATTAGGTGGTCCAAGGAGTGGGGTCTTAGTGAAATGGGATTTGGGAGGGAGAAAACTACTTACTGTTACTTTGCCGTTGCAGCCAGTAGTTCTCTTCCTCACAATTCCCCTGTTCGAATGATAGTTGCCAAGAGTGCAATACTTATTACAGTTGCTGATGATTTTTATGATATGGAAGGCTCTCTGAATGAGTTAGAACACTTAACGGATGCAGTTCAAAGGTTTTTTTGCTTTTATTAATTTGCATTCTAAAACAATTCTTCATTTTTCTAGCTCTCCTTATCTCACAATTTTTTTTTTTCTTTTTATTAAACCAGATGGGATGGTAAAGGCTTAAGTGGCCATAGTAAGATTATATTTAATGCACTTGACCATTTTGTGAGGGACATTGCAGCGAAACACCTCCATCTACAAGGAAGTGACATAACAAAAGATCTGCAAGATATAGTAAGTGTTTTTTATTTATTTATTTATTTATTTTTACTTATGTGTATATGACTAATTACTTCACAAACTCTTGAGCTAACAACTAAAACTTGATATAATTTTTGAAATTCTTGTATGAAAGTGGCGCGAAACATTTGTTTCGTGGCTGACAGAGACTACATGGAGTAAGAGTGGATATATTCCATCCCTCGATGAATATCTTGAAACGGGCATGAAATCAATTGCCACGCATACTATAGTTCTTCCGGCTTTGTTTTTTATGAGCTCGACCTTGTCTCCCAAACTACTCAAGCCTGCACAATATAAAAGTATCACGAAATTGCTCATGGTCATGGCTCGATTGTTGAATGACATTCAAAGTTACCAGGTTAATTGATTAAACATTTTTTTTTTTGAAAGTTCAAGTAAATGCACACACCCCCACTCAATATTGCTCAGCTCAAACACTTGACCTCCCCTTTGGGGGAGGGGAGAGAATATATACCCATATGGGCTAGTGCCCACCGGTAAGACCTAAACATATATTCTAGAAATCTTATATATATATATATATATATATATATATATATATATATATATTTATATATTGTGCATTAATGCAGAAGGAGCAAGAGGATGGGAAAATGAACCTTGTTTTGCTTAATTTGAAAGAAAATCCACATGCAGACATTGAAAGCTCAATCACGTTTGTAAAAGAGATATTGGATGAAAAGAAGAAAGAGTTACTTGAACATATTTTGATGGATGGCTTCAATGATTTGCCCAAACCATGCAAGCATCTCCATTTATCATGTCTAAAAGTATTTCAGATGTTTTTTAACTCTAGCAACCAATTCGACTCCAACACAGACCTCCTTCAAGACATAATGAAAGCGATTTACAATCCATTGGAATACCAAAATCCAAAGCCTCTGAAGACTCTACCATCAATTCAGTCAAGAGTCTCGAGACCCAAGAAGGAAAATTTGATCATCTACTCGGCTCCTTACGATCAAAGCTTCAAACATCATGGAAGTAGAAGTTATTCTGTTAGACAACACTTTGTTCCAAAGACTATATCAAGAAATGGCTGCGCGAAAGTGTTCATTCCTTTAAAACTCAGTTTATGCTTCATTTGAATCAGTTTGGTATTAGTATTAGGTACATATGCTGGACTACGGCACCTGCATGTCTTGTGGCTATGTAACAAGTGTGTCTCATATATGTATTAATTGGTGAAACTAGTGTTTTTCCCTAGGTTCAATATATGACTAATTGGCCTTATGCTCAATTTACCTTGATAGTTTTAAAAATAGTAATTATTTGTAGATCAAAAGTTGAACATTTATCACTTCAGGAAAATGATTTTAAGGCAAGGATTTAGAGTGTTTGTCTAAAAGTTTTGATTGGTCGTCATATGCAAAATACAAGGAAGTGTTATATAGTACAAACATGACCAATTAAAACTGTTCGACACAATTCGCTATAAGACTTCGACCTAAGTATAGTGTTTGTCACCTAAATGCACTTTGCCTTTGGGGGAGGACGCAATCTCTTCCCAACCCAACTACAATATTATCTAAACCTTAATATATGCTCTGTTTGGTAGGAAGAAATGAAGGGCGGTAGAGGGAAGATAGGAAGAAAGAAACAACTTTCTTTCGTTTAATAAAGTGAAGGCAAGGAGAGAAGAAAAAAGATGATAAATGAGTCATCCTTCCAACTTCACAAATTTTTATCCCATCATATCTCGACAAATGACGTAAAGGAAAAAATAAAAGGCTTTTGTAAAAGTTTTCAAATTACAAAACTTTCCTTATAAGTAGCAATCTCTCTTCTAACAAACAAAATAAGGTATTATCTCATTCTCTTCTCTTCCATTCAATCAAGCAAAAAGAGGGAATGATACAATCTGTTTCCAAAGGCAAGGCTTTTGTGTTCTCCTTCTTTTTGTTTGGTTGGTTGTGAGAGAAGAAAATAAGATAATACCTTATTTTGTTTGTTAGGAGAGAAATGAAGATATAGTGTTAATTATAAGTTAAGATTTGTAATTTATAAACTTTTGTAATAGCTTTATCTTTCTTCCTCAGCATCTTGGGTTCATATGGAGTGATGAAAATTTGTGAATGAGGAATGATGGCTCATCTATCCTCTTTTCTCTTCTCTCATTACCTCCTCTCTACCAAACGAAAAATGTTTATTTCTTTATTCTTATCTTCATTCAACCCCTCTTCCTTCCTTCCCACTAGACGGAGCATAAGTTTTTTTTTTTTTTTTTTTTTTTTTTTTTTTTTTTTTTTTTTTTTTTAACTCTCTGCCATATTTTCTACAATACAATAATAAGATTGTTTTGCAAAGCTAGACACAGTTAAATTTCCAATAAGTTAATGTCACCGTAAGAAATTGGAAAATTAAGGGGTTGCCAATTATTTATGGATAAAAATTGGTTTGTTGAGTTCACACATTCTACAAATTGCAGTTTAGCAGGTTACAAATTAGTGTTCTCTCAACCTTAATATTTGGCAGTAGAATGTATTAAAACAATTATATTCAATTTTGACAGGTACATTGACAAGAATGCCATTACATTACACTACTGGTGTATTCATGCATGGTGGAAATATAACAAGCCGCAATTTATATTACAGTATCACTACAAAGTAACTTTAGCAACTTTTGTTTGACAAAATGTGTTGGGGCATTATAATTTTCAGCAATGTTTCGAAAATCTCAAACATTATAAATCACTCGTACCCATAGTCACATCTCACGTCGTTGTCCTCCGAGAAAAAGTCTGGCTGACACTTGTATGAAAGATAATATGGGTTCCAATTCCTAATCGAAATATAATAATCTCGTTCATTTAAAATAGGAGAGTAATTGTGCAGAAAAAAAAAATTATAAATTTAATACAAATATGTACAATCAACTAATTGGATATTTGTTTTGGATGCTTCTTGAGGGATTATTAGGTGATTTAAGAACTACAATACCACCACCTTCACCCAAAAATAAATAAATAAATAAATTTACTATGATATGTAGAATATATAATCATAAATATGATACATAGATGTACAATCAACTGATTTGGATATTGTTTGGGTAGGTGACTGATTGGACATCTACACCATGCCATATATGTGTAAGTTTGTATGTATCTAGTATCAACCAATTAAAAGTTCACAACACATCATCAAGACTAGGAGCAGTGCTGCTTACCCAAGTTTGCATGCCGAACAAGAGACAGAGCCCATGGCCGCCGAATATTTCCCATCAAATAATTTTCTCAAGGGATTAGGGGTTATGCACTTTCCAATAATCAATATGCATGTCAAAGTCGTGGACTTCATATGGCCTCATGATACACATGTATGGAGTATTTAGAGAACTTTTATTTCAGCTAGTAAGCAAAGAGTTCTACGGAATCTATTATCATATACTATTGAAGTGATTGAAGTATTTTCACCAGCAAATTATGAGAGACATCATTTAGAGTGAGTTGTTTTCCCGAGATCATCATCAGTATAACCTTTCTTTATCCTTCAATCTTGGCCGTAGAGGAATTTTCCAAGTAGAGTTATTCTCCATGGTATATACCCTCATAGGTAGTGAATATCTTCTTGTGTGAACATGTGTCCACCCACCATTCTTTCTATTTAGGATTATATATATACCATGTGTAGCTCATGTGTCCACCCACCATTCTCTATTATTGCTCACAAGGTTGATTTCAGCTATCACAATCGGAAGATTTAGTTCTGACACATCAGTTGTCAATTTAAATTCCTTAGCGATGTGCATGTCAGTGGTCTTCTTTTCGGAGTTATCTTGTGCTTTGCGGCTACAACAATCTTTAGCTTGGTGTCCTTGCTTGTCGCATATGTAACACTTCCCGTTGAATCTCTTGTAGTTTTCTTGACTGGGATCTTGTCCAGAGTGCTTCCTCTTCTTATTTTTCTGTCCAGCTTCCACTACATTTGCCTTTGACACCATTGAAGAATTACCAAATTTCTTTTCAAATTAATGTGCGGTTATCTTCTTCATTCCTTAGCTTGTCTTTACGCTTATGCTTCAAGTAATTCTTGAAATCTTTCCAAGTAGGTGGCAATTTTTCAATGATTATTGAAGCCACTTGAAAAGATTCACTCAAAGCCATATATCTTTTCAGCATGTATCTCCATGTGGGATCAACTAGAACTTCTGCACTTGGCTCATAACAGTCTTGGAGTCCACCATTTTGAAGTCCAAAAATCTTTCAACCACGAATTTCTTCAAACCAGCATCCTCTGTCTTATACTTCTTATCTAGTGACTTCCATAACTCTTTAGCAGTATTAATTGAACAATACACACACACACACACAAACATGACAGTTATATTTATGCATATATAGTAACATGTAATTAATCAAAATGGCTTGTCTATTTCATCATTAGGTGGTCCAAGGAGTGGGGTCTTAGTGAAATGGGATTTGGGAGGGAGAAAACTACTTACTGTTACTTTGTTGTTGTAGCGAGTAGTTCTCTTCCTCACAATTCCCCTATTTGAATTGTAGTTGCCAAGAGTGCAATACTTATTACAGTTGCTGATGATTTTTATGAATGAGTTACAACGATTAACCAATGCAGTTCTAAGGTATATATATATATATATATATATATATATATATAGGCTTTTATTTTCAGTCTAGAATTATTTAAGAATTCGAACACCTTGCATAGTACTTTGTTTTTCTAGATCTCCTTGTCTCACATTATATATATATATATATATATATATATATATAGATATAGATATTATTTTTTATTTTATAACAGATGGGATGGTAAAGGCTTAAGTGGCCATGGTAAGATTATCTTTCTTGCCCTTGACAATTTTGTGATGGACATTGCAGCGAAACAACTCCATCCACAAGGGTGTGACATAACAAATGATCTACAAGATATCATAAGTTTTTTTACGTGTGTAGTTAAACTAGTTATTTCACAAATGCTTGAGCTATTTCTCAAGTAAAGCTCGAAATAATTTAGAAAATCTTGTATGAAAGTGGCGCGAAACATTTGTTTCGTGGCTAACAGAAACTATATGGAGCAAGAGTGGATATATACCATCCATCGATAAAATAGGCATGATATTGATTGCTACGCACACTATAGTTCTTTTGGCTTCGTGTTTTATGAGTCCGAGCTTGCCTCACAAATTACTCAAGCTCGTGTAGTATGAAACTGCCACTAAATTGCTCATGGTCACTGCTCGTTTGTTGAATGACATTCAAAGCTACCAGGTTAGTTAATTAACTAACGTACCTTTTCATGAACATGTAAGCATTTTCCCTTTTGTAAAGTTCAAATACACGTATACACCCCCACAATATTGCTCTGTCAGGGCTCGAACACTCATCTTCCTCTCTTTGGATGAGAGATCATAACATCTAAATTAATGCCCACTATTAACATGTAAATATTCTAAAATATTTCATATATATTCATATATTTTGCAGAAGGAACAAAAGGATGGGAAGATGAACCTTGTTTTGCTTGATTTGAAAGAAAATCCACGGGCAGACATTGAAAGCTCAATCACTAATGTAAGGGTGGAAGAAAAGAAAAAAGAGTTACTTGAACATGTTTTGATGGATGGCTTTAATGATTTGCCCTAACCATGCAAGCATCTCCATTTATTTTGTAAAGTTTTCAGATGTTTTTCAACTCTAGCAACCGATTCGACTCCAATACAGATCTCCTTAAAGACATAATGAAAGCAATTTACAATCCATTGGAATACCAAAATCAAAAGGGTGTGAAGACTCTACCATCGATTCAGTCGAGACCCAAGAAGGAAAATATGATCATCAACTCGGTTCGTTACAATCAAAGCTTCAAACATCATGGAAGTAGGAGTTTTTTTTGTTAGACAACACTTTGTTCCATAGACTAAATAAAGAAATGGCTGCGCGAAAGTGTTCATTCCTCTGAAACTCAGTTTATGCTTCATTTGAATCAGTTTGATATTAGCATTAGCTACATATGTATTTTAAGGCCAGCCTACAATAGCTGGAGTATGGTACTTGCATGTCTTGTTGCTATGTAATAAGTGTATCATATATATATATATATGAATCAATTGGTGAAACAGGTTTTGTTCTTGATTTAATCTAGAAGTTTATTCTCCAATATATGATTAATTGGATCTATTTACAGGCTCGACCTACATTGATCTTATGCTAACATCATACCACAACTCCTTCATAACCTGTTACCTCACCACAATCC